CTTTAACAGCGGAAAAAAATATTTATCAGAAGCGCTAAATGCAATTTTTATTCTTGCCTTTATAGATATTAATCTTGTAATTAACATAATTCGAAGTTAAAGTCAAACAAATTGCTCATTGAGTTCTTTAAAAAGTTTTAAGCGTGCAAATTAGTTTGCATTTTCCTTATGCACGATCCGACGCAGTTATACTTCATAAGAAGTCATGTCTGTTAATGTCTTACTATTAAAGATATTAAAGCTCTTACATTTGAGTTGCTAAAAGGTAAATAATGTAAGTTCTTGGCGTTCTTGAAGTATAACGCTATTTAACGAAGGAAACAAAAATGTAAGTTTCAAATCGAGATTCGATTTTTATAGTAGGCGCGCACACCATACATGCCCATACTGATCAACTGCCCGACTAAATTATCGGCCGACGAAAAATCAACTGTGTGCGCCTACTCTTAAACATGACAAAACTATTTTTTAATGTCAAAGTCAAAGTCATAATAAATTCCTATTACATGGACTATTGAAAATAGTGATTACAAATCGTCAAATGTTAAAATAAACAAAATAATTAAAAAAAGCTAATAGTTTTGCTCCTATCCTAAGTCTTCACATATCTCATAATCTTTTTGCCCTACCAGCGCTGCAGCGCTTCGAGACCAACATTTGGCAAGTGCTTAGAAGAAGCGCCGCAATAAAATGATAAATGATATTGGTACTGTTTAAAGCGATTGCTTTTTATATCTTAAACTGTTTAAATAAGATTTTAAACTTTCGCGTTCAATTTCAATTAAAATAGCCGTAAATTAAATTAAAATAGAAACGTCAAGCCGTGAGTACATAATGTAACTCATTAATAAATGTCGCGTTAAGACCCGTGTCTTACTATTTTAAACTGTTTAATTTTATTTATTATGCGAAAGCAGGATCTTGACCTTCAAGTAAAATCCCAACCAATGAAGGTCAAGGTTGTGCCGGGGGAAAGTTAAACGGTCTTGAACTCGCAACGAAATTAATCAGAAGAGTTCGAAGTCAAGAAACGACTTCCCTACTAAGTTTAATAGCAAACAACTTAAACCTACGTTTTAGAAATAGATTGTTATTTTATTTAGTAAGTATTCAGTAATAGACAGACATAATCCCATCAAAAACAATACTTGTCAAAAAAACCAAGTCTCGCAACTCAGTTGTTCTACGGTAAAAAGTTGTGAGATCCATGTAATACCAAGTCCAGGCCAGGAAATCTTTAACGTTTTACATAAATTATTGACTTGGCCATCGCACTAAATAATTTAATTTACACGTGTTTTCATGCGATGGCCAAGTCAATATATTTATGGTTCAAAACTACTGGTTCAAATTGAATGAAATTTTAAATATACCGTGTCTTTACAATGCCTACATAGCTAATGAAAATTCAGCCTTCTAGTTTTATCCACAACGAAGTTACAGGCGGTCGAAAATAGCCTGAATTGCTTCGAGAAAAGGATGGTACGGCCGTGCCGCTTTTTTGCTCGACTTGGTGATATCAGGCTCTTATAAAGCATACATTATTAGACATACGTAACTACGAGTAACTAGCCAATAGTTACGTAACAATATTATTATTATTATTTGTTTTTACAATATTTTTACAGTCATTTTTCTAATACAATTTATAATTATAAAAAAGACATTATAAAAAATACATATTAACTAGACAGTCCGCCGATAGTGGGGCAGGGGCTAAGCTACCGGCGCGGTGGTTAGGGTCACAGGCTGAGGAACCTCCGGACAATGCGAGCCGTGCTGAGGATCACCGCCTTTTGTATCTGACCCTTGAGCCAACCATCCAGCGAGAGCTTCTTTAGATGTTGGTCGAAGCTCTATAAATACTAGCGGCCGCCCGCGACTTCGTACGCGTGGATCCCGTTTTACCCCTGTTTAGATTTTTCATACAAATGTTTTTTCCCGCTAACTCCCGTTCCCGTGGGAATTTTGCAATATCCTGTTGTAACTAAGCTTTAAGTTTACTAAGGTACCTGCATGCCAAATTTCAAGCGTCTAACTTAAGCGGTTTAGATTTTTCATACACAAGAATTTTCCCGCTAATTCCCGTTCCCGTGGGAATTCCTAGGTATACTATAACCTGCCCAGGAGTATGTAGAAAAATTGTACCAAGTTTCGTTAAAATCCGTCGAGTAGTTTTTGTTTCTATAGAGAACATACAGACAGACAAAAATTTTACTGATTGCATTTTTGGCATCAGTATCGATCACTAATCACCCCCTGATAGTTATTTTGAAGATATTTATTATATATTTCATGTACAGAATTGACCTCTCTACAGATTTATTATAAGTATAGATTACCTAGGTACTAATGTTGAATTTCGTCAATTTCAATTTATAGACAACATTGAGAAAATCAGCAGCGTAACAGGCCATTGCCCTTTCCCTTCTCCAAATACTCGTACAATCGATTACCGCCTCAAACTTCCTAACCTACCTCAACGGGGAGGGTCGAGACGCTCTTAAGGGCGGAAGTTCAAGTCAGTTCCTTTACCTTTGGGCTTTAGATGGGAAGTTTGTTTGTCTCGCGTTCTTGCGGATTCGGTTACGATGAACATTTTGAGCTTTTACACAACTGTTAGAGCTTTTAATGAAGCTAGTGAATCAAGAAACGTAATGTGGGAAACAGCAAGTGCAAAAAGCAATTCACCTATACGTTTACGATGTTATTGTAGGCTCAACAAAAGCTCGTGCCTTATACAAACATTTAGGTCCGGTAAGTAAACTCAAATCGGTTATCAAAGTTTATCCATTGATACTAAAAATAAGATGATGACGACGTTGAAAAGTGAAATCTGTTTGAAAACTAATCAAAGTTAGAAAAAAATAAGATTTGAAATCTGAAATCTGGTAAAGAATCGTAATTTCAAAGAACTTCATAACACAGACGAAGAAGATTCGGGAAGATACTAAGTTTAGGCGGACAAGTTAAGTTCGTCCTATGCGGGTAGAGTAGGTCAGGGATAATGTCTAACAAAGCTTCGAACGTGGGCAGTACCAGTACTGAAGGGTCAATACAAAGCATAAAAGGATCTTAGATCTGCTTGAGAAAATTAAGATGTACGAGTATGATTAAAGAAAAACAAATGAAGCCAACAGACTGAACTGGGACATGATGATTTGGGATCTGGTGGTAAAGATAGCAACTCCTGATTAAAACAACATAGTAGCATGGAGATCAGTCTCATCATCATCATTTCAGCCATAGGACGTCCACTACTGAACATAGGCCTCCCCTAATGCTTTCCACGTTGATCGATTGGTAGCGGCCTGCATCCAGCGCTTCCCTGCTACCTTTACCATGTCGTCGAGATCAGGCTCATTTGAGCTATATTGACAACTTGACCTGCGGTATTTCGCCAAAAATGATGATGCAGGATCTGGTGATAGCTGGATGATGGCTATGGCAAGTTCTGGAGAATAACACATTCTCATTTAGATCAGACTTATTTGAGCTATATTGACAACTTACTCTGTGCTGATTCGCTTTAAGACTGGACTGGACATACTCCATGATGATAATAGAGCTGGATGGTCACTATGGCAAGTTCTGAACAAGACGATCTTGTTGTATGGAGATCAGGCTCATTTGAGCTATTATAACAACTTGACCTGCTGTGATTCACCGAAAGACTAGACTGAAACATGATGATGCAGGATCTAGTTATGGAGCTGGATGATGGCAAAAACAACCCAAGAATAAAACAATGAAGTCACATTTAGACCAAGCTCATTGATCTATATTGACAACTTGACCTGCGGTGATTCGCCAAAAGCCTGGACTGGAACATGATGATGTAGGATCTTGTGATAGGGCTGGATGATAGCTATAGCAAGTCCTGAATAGAACAACGCAGTCGCATTTTGAGTCATTTGAGCTATATTGACAACTTACCCTGTGGTGATTCACCAAAAGACTGGACTGGACATGCTCCATGATGATGATAGATCTGGATGATGGCTGTGGCAAGTTCTGAACAGCACGATCTAGTTGTATGGAGATCAGGCCCATTTGAGCTATATTGACAACTTGACCTGCTGTTATTCACCAAAATACTGGACTGAAACATGATAATGCAGGATCTAGTGATAGAGCTGGATGATAGCAAAAGAAACCCAAGAATAATGAAGTCGCATTATTTTAGAATAAGCTCATTGATTTATATTGACAACTTGACCTGCGGTGACTAGAACATGATACCTAATGAAGACTTTGGTCAAAGCTAGTAGATCAGTGGTGATGACTACGGAAATATGGAAATGCAACGAAATTTTAAGATTCCGTTGCATCTAGTTAAAACTAATTTGAGTGAGCTTGAAATTCTGATTCTATTTTTATGTATGCTATTTTTTTTAATCCATAACTGGGAAGTCTTGACCTACACCTCATCTCACCTGGAAGAAAGTGATGATCAGAGATAAATGTGGCAAAGAGCTTCAGCTGGAATCTCCAACCATACATGAATGCCTCTACCTCCTACAGATGGCGGTGCCTGGCCTACCTCCACATGCTGAAAGCAAATATAAAAACAAATGTCAGATATGGCAACATTAGAATTAAATCAAGACTTATCTGAAATTGCCTTGTTATAGTGTTATTCAAGACCTGATGCTGACGCTGGATGGTTTCTATGGGAATTTGGAAATAAAATAATAATATTATGGTCTCATTGTGCTCTTGTCAAACTGTTTTTATTAATAATTACAAGGTTTTCATAAAGAATCATTATTAGAGATTTAAGAATAATTAAAAAAAATATACTTGGACATTCAAATCTTGAATACTTTTAGATCTAGCTCAAACTATGTATTTACGCAAAGAGAATAAAAGTTAAAAGTATAAATTTATTTTTGTTTCATTTAAAAATTAAATCATACATCAAATCCTGTTGTGCTGGTATTAGCCGCATTATTTTTTTGATCATTTTTTTATTTTACTAATCGTCATTTTTCTTTCACAGGGTTGAACTCTTCGCCGCTTTAGGATATCAGCACCCGTAGTTTAATCAGCACCAAGATTTAATTCCAAGTAAGTTTTTACTAATATTATTACTTAATATTTTTTTATACATGTAAAAAAATCCCTGAGTGTAAATAACTTTAAATACCTACTCATGACACTTTTATGTATCTAACACTTAGCAAAATTAATCTTTATTTTTACATTGGTTGAAGACTCGAATTTTAACAAACATTCAACTTTCTTTAAAAAGTGTCTTAAGTCCAAGAATATTACGGCTCCTTCTGCTGCCTTTACTAACTTTTCTTTGCATATCTTTTCTTAAAGGTTATTTAAAACCTTTGTTTGTCACCTGTTCATCCGCTTTGCAATGGAGGGAAGTCGAACCTGGTTCGAAGTCCTCCCATGTTCTTTTGATTCATTTCGTTGCGGGTCCAATGACAGTTTAACTTTCCCCGGGACCAACTTGACCTTCATTGGTTGGGTTTTTATGGCGGCCAAACTGTAGATCCTGGCTGCACCTGGCTGCCTGGTGGGAACGAGAGGTGGGAATAGTGCCGCTAACTACTAAAAAGGGTATTTTAGAGAAGTGCCATCATTAGAATGCACACTAGACTAAACCTTGGTCCGTGAGCACGTAGAATTTTGTCCAATGACCCCAAGCTACCCATCCTTATCGCTCGCGTGTAATTATATTGCTGTCGCGACTGTGCGACAGGCGCCCGCAGTGAGTGTGCGAGCGCGACAGCAACATAGCATGGGTAGCTTAGGGTCATTGGACAAAATTCTACGTGCTCACGGACTAGGCTTTAGTAGACTTACATCCATGGTTTGTTCTTTTGCAGGTACTAGATGAGCACTAATGCGCCGGCGCCGTAACGGCAATGGGAACGGCCGCGTCCCTCGTCGCCCTGGCAGGTAGGTGTAGCTTAAGCTTTACAGGTGCGGTTGGAGACTACAATATCAGAATACCCTACAGAACTTCAGTTTTTTCACTAGGAGCGTAGACAGCATCAAACTACATGACATTATAAAATTTTTGATCAGGATCGCAAGGATTTCCAAATTGCTGATTCTTTTAACGAAATTACATATTATTGCTGTATCGGTTACCACAGGAGATGGTGAATGTTCGAAACATAGTTGGAGAACTATGGGAATAGGATATTATTAATTAGCATGAGTAAAAGAAATGCCCCTTTCAAATGCAGATAGGAATAGGCTTTTTAATTTACAGCAATGGTCTAATAAATAAGTAGGCTATATTATAAGTAACGTGTAGCTAACAAATATCACCTACTTAGGTACTCTAGCATCATAATCATACATCAATGCGTTAAGTCAAATCAATCATTTTCTAAAAATCTTTTTCAGGATTTGATAAAATAGACCACATCTTGAGATGTCGTAAGATAATAATTATTATCCTATACTTAGATAAAAAAAAAATTGGAAAATTGGGGATGAACTTTTTTATACGTAATATCTCCGCCGATTATAAATCAATTTGAAAGATAATTTTTTTGTTGAATACGTATTATCAAAAGAGTGGTTTCATGCGAATTTGAAGAAAATATTTCACCCCCAAGGGTGGCAAATTGGGGATGAACTTTTTTATACGCAATATTTTTAATTTTTAGTTTTTTTTTTGTGTTCACGCATTTGAAGTCGGTTTTATTTTTTTTAAAGGTTAATTATCTCACGACAATCTAGCAAAGCAAAAGTCTGCAGTTTTAGAAAAATCAGGTAATCAAAGCACACTGCTTCTACTTTATGGCGTCATTTTTTATTTACCACTTCTGTACAGTCGACGTCGAATAGTTTTTCACACCAAGGTAGCCAAAATGTTCGCAACACGTCTTTGTTACAATTGGAATAAGGTTGGGTTCGCAACTTTTTGGCCACTTTGGGTGTCACGAACTATTTCACGCTGACTGTACAAAAATAAAGTAAAATAAATATTGACATATTAGGGCATCTCTAATTTAGTTATGAGTACAGCGTCGCTATAGCTAAATGTTTTGTATACCCATTATAAGACACACTATACAAGAATGCATGGTAAATTCAGTGAACTGCTCCTGAATCGAATGTACCTACTACTGCTATTTCTATTTATTTATATTAACCGGCAGACAGTGGTGACTGAGTTTGTTGCGGCGTTTCTTCTCAGCACTTGCCATATGTTTGTCTCGAAGCGCTGGTAGGGCCCAAAAGATAAGGAGACATGTAAAGTGCCCCATAAGGGCTACCTTTTTCTTTTTTTATTATTTTCTATTGACGTTCATAAGTGCCACTTGTGGTCTAAACTGAATAAATATTTTTTGATTTTGATTTTGATTTTGACTATTTATTAGTCTAAACAAATAAAGAAATTTTGACTTTGACTTTTGACTTTGACTTTGTTTTCTAATCTAGTTTATACGGCAGCACTTGAGACTATTTGTAATTAATTCAAAATTGTTTCTATTACAACTTTGTAGTGATAAATTAATTATCACAGCGTTCATCTTGACATACCGTCTACGCCTACACTTAAGAAAAATTAAATAAATTTTAGGCTTTCGATGCATAACACTATGACCAAATTGACCAATATCCTACTAATATTATTAAAAGTTTGGATGTCTGGATGTCTGAATGTTTGTTAGGTACTCTTTCACGCAAAAATTACTGAACGGATTTTGATGAAACTTTACAGTATTATTGTTTATAACCTAGAATAACATATAGGCTAAATCTATGACGATCTGTGACAAACTAAATTTCACGCGGGTGAAGCCGCGGTCAAAAGCTAGTTAATTATGTGAAAAGATGCTTGAACCGTCGTCTGTCAAAAATTATGTGTTTACCGTGTTGAGTTAAAAATACAGGGATTTTTTTTAACTTTAAAGAGACGAAAATGTACGGAACCGTGTACCTACAAGTCTAACTCGGACTTAGCCGGTTATTTAAAGAGTTTTTAGTGTGTTTAATCTCTGCCGATTATTTCTGCAAGTGACAAGTTCCAAAGACAAGTTTTTTATCAATTGAGTCAAATACGAGTAAGTACATTTTAATAATATTAATAATCATATTTATTACTTAACGATAGTCGACGACGTCGGCCGTTTGGTGTAGTGGTTCAGAACGGACTACTATGCCGAGAGGTCCCGGGTTCGATTCCCGGCCGGGCAGAAATTGAAATGATGAATTTTAATTTCTGTGACGGGTCTGGGTGTTTTCTATGTATAATATGTATGTATTTACAAAAAAAAAAGTATCTAAGTATGTTTATCCCGTCGTCTAGTACCCATAGTACAAGCTTTGCTTAGTTTGGGACTAGAGGCGCAGTGTAAAATGTCCAAGGATATTTATTATAAAATTTATTATTTATTTATTATTATTATAAAGTTAATTTACCCACTAAAGTTCACTAATCAAAGTTTCGAGTTGATTTTCAGTTGAAACAATTAAGGTAAGTACTTAAGTTTTCCAAGTATTCAAGTTCTTCAAACTTCACGCTGTTGTATCTAGAGTGGTGTTTTGTGTATGATTTTCATTGGGGTAATTTAAAACAAATATCTATAAGTACTCGTATCTTTTGACATTTTAAACTTTTCCATGAACTGAAGCTGAACGATTTCACGTACTTAACTGCAATCACTCCTGATGTTAAGGAAACGCAACTGAAACGAAACTGCAACTTTCTGATCATTCTAATGAATGAAACTGAAACTGAAAGTTTCGAACTGGTCGCGTCATGTATGGTCTCTCAACGGACGCTATGGCAGAAACTTAGATGCAACTCAAAAATAACTAGCAGTTGCAGTTTCGTTGCAGTTGCGTTTCACCGTCTGTTCTGGGCCTAAGTGAGATGCAGTCTAGGATGGTGCATACGGTATGCATACCTGCCCTGTAAGTGCCTCACTCTCACCTTGAAGGGACCCGAATCATAATGCTCGGGAAAGAAAGCAGTACCTAGTCATCCCAACTGATGTCAGGACTCATTCCAAACCTCTCTTAAAAGACTATGACCGAAAATGCAGATCATAGGAGTTAGGACTGAATAGTATCAAAATGCGTACCTTAGGTCGAGCTCTCACTGGACACTGCAGCTTAAATATGGGACTGTCCGAAACTATGGGGCTGTCTGAAAAAAGATCGTGCAGGATATGCCAAGAGGCAGATGAAACGCCTCTACAATTCTTACGGACTGCGGGCCTTTGATGACCTTACACCTATTGAGTAATCGTTCGATCGAAACGACACGTGAATACGGATTTAAAACCGTTTTGCAATAGGACGACTTCTAAACGTCAACGACATTTTGACTGTTTCAAAATACGTGAATTAGGCCACTGCCACTGACACTGCGCAAACACATCCTAAACTCACAACATGAAAATGAAAAATGAAAATGAAAATATTTATTGTGAGAATCAAACAATACAATAACTAAAAGTCCAGTGGAGATATTCCACACTAGGCATTGCCTGTCCTGTGGAGGAAAGAATAACGATTAACAGGTAGAATTGTACGGCTAAGCTAAAGTGTTATATAAGGAAGCAATAAATCGAAATATGAAAAGTACACAGAAGATGAAAAGGCATTAGGGATGGATGTAGGGTGTGTGCTGTTGTGTGTAAAAGTGAAAATGTGTTGTGTATGTGTGTGGGGTATTTTCTTCTTCAATTATTTATTCTAATAATTCTTCAGACTCATCATATTATTATGTCCAGTTCATCAGGGTTCAACATGTTCAACATACTGCCCCCAAAAGATACTGCACTACTTAATCGATGCACTAAAGGAAAACGTGGAAAAAGTGGCGATCACAATAGATAGGTACCGGTCGCAGTGATGCTGGGACTTCATACAACCAGAATAGCTGCTCAACACAAAATAAGAAATAATAATGTTCAGGAAAGATAGCAACAGGCAGCAGTCATCCCGAAATCTGAAACAGAATAAAATTCTGAAAGCTGTGAACAGAACTAGTTTGTAATAAACTCATCTCATTTCTGTACATCTGGGGTGACCACACAAATGTGAAAAAGTTTTGCAATAAGCTTATACCATTTTACATGTGACTCTTCAGGACTTTATGAGAGTGAACTATTTTAATTTGCCATATGCAGGCTTATTACTTGTTGGTTTGTGTTTACAACAAAACGTGATAATAAATTGTATTTTTCATTTAAATGTCGCGTCGATAATTAGGTGTTGTAAGATTCTTTTATGTCTGGATTCGGACTTGTCACACTACTGGCAACATTTAAATAAATAAATAAAATAAATATTTGTTTTCATTACCAAAGAAATACCTTATAATTTAGTGTTCGATGCCTCCTTTTAAGCTTAAAGAAGCCCTTTAGGCAGAGAGCAGAGCTACTTTTCTTTTTCATGTTGACATGTGACATCTGACATGGTGTTATTAAAGTGAAAATTTTATTATTTTGGAAGATGAAAATGCATTATAATTTTAAAGGAATCGACAAGCTGATGAATTAACTTTAAATGTCGTTTCTCAGTTGTGATTCGTAAACAATTTCTGTGTGAATAGATGATAGAACATTGTTGAAAATATCACTACTTTACAAGAGCAACACCGAGCAACACATTGTTTCATTTCTCTTCCTTAGAATGTTATGATGTGCTTTAGACTTTTTTTACTGACTGTACCATAAATGAAAATTTAGTTCTTTCGGTATTAGGGAATAATATAAATATTGACGGTTTTTTTTTAAATATTATTTTCATAATCATCTTGCTCTAATTTTCTTACTTAGTACTTACATAACGGGTCTATAGATACTTATTCAATATTTGCATTTTTATAGATAAGTGATCCAAGCGAAAGTAAAAACGCGAACGCTTGCAAACGCGAAGTTATTTTGTAAGCTTTATGGCAAAGCTCTTACTACATTACAGGGTGTTTCATTCACCATCAAAACCGGTCAAGTGCGAGTCGGACGCACCGAGGGTTCCGTAGAATCCTGTAGGTATATAACATTGATTTCGTTTCAGCTTAACTATTAGGTACTATAGACCTGAGTACGAGTATTTGATATGAATTTAATTTCTCTACGTGTTCATGAGGAAAGGAGTACTTAGTAACTTTATTTTTTAAATTAATTATGAAAAACTACTTATTAGACCACACGTATGGGTTTGATGAAAAACCATTTTTGAGTTTCATTTCTAACTATGGCGACCCCCAAAATTGTTTTTTTTTTTAATATTTTTGTTTGTAAATCTTAATGCGGTTCACAAATTTCGGAAAAAAGTAGCTGTAACATACGGACTGACAGACAGACACACATAACGAGTCTATAAGGGTTCCATTCTTTGCCTAAAAAGGATTATAGAGTAGGTACTTATTATTATTCTGTGATTATAGGTAGGTACTGCTCAAACGCAACAACTACGCATAAAAGAACAATTTTTTTTTTAAATTAATCATTCCATTGTGTTTCTTTGCGAGATCGAATCAAAAATGAAGAGGATAGATCCTCTCAACTGGCACGTGTTCGCGCGGGGCGACCTTGGCCCACTATTTGGCCGATAACTTAGATATATTATTATAGAATTTCCATAATAAATTTACGAGTATATACTCGTACATATACTAGCGGCCGCCCGCGACTTTGTACGCGCGGATCCTGTTTTACCCCCTTAGGGGTAGAGTTTCGTAAAATCCTTTCTTAGCGGATGCCTACGTAATAACATCTACCTGCATGCCATCCGTCCAGTGATTTGGGCTGTGCGTTGATAGATCACTATGTCAGTCAGTCAGTCAGTCACCTTTGAGTTATATAGGTATATTTAGATTATTTGGCGTCTCCATATTTGGAGACTTACAGTTTTAAGATTTTTTGTTGTGTTTGAGATTTTTTTAATCTCCGGATGGATTACCGGAGTACGGATTTTAAAAGATAAATTAGATAACAATTAATATGCATTTTGAAAAAGTACTGGTAATTTCTCGCTAACTTATACAAGCAAACTTGTAGACTATACGTTTTTATATTTATATGTTACAGGAAATGTATGAATTCTAGGAATTCTAAACAACTCCTAGGAAATGTACTATTCCTAAGCTATTTTAGGAAATGAATAAAATATTGATTCAGAGACTATTTAATACGCACATATCTTAGGAAAATACAGTTCCTAGGAATTTTATAGAATTCCAATATCGTATTAGGAAATGTATAAAACGAACGCTATTAAGTGAATAAAATAAGTAAAACACGTTTATAAATGAAGAATCACAGCTTTTGTTAAGGGTCTCATTGAGACAATTATGTACTTAAGTACGAGTAAAGATCATTTATATAACCACGATAGCCGAACGGTGAAGGGGTCGGTGTGGCCGACTCGAGATACGAGGAACGCGGGTTCGAATCCCACCGCCGCTCGACTATTGTGGTGAGCCCACTCGTAACACAAGCTTATTTAGCTTACCACGAGGGGCTAATGGGACTATTAGTAATTTGGGCAATACAAATTGGTAATAATCTTTAAAAAAAAAAAAATAATATCTTTACTTCTTACTAATTTAAGGATCAGAGTTTTTATTGAGGCTCTCATTGAGACAATCAAGTAACAATTATAATATGGTTTATAAATTATAATATCTTCATACTTCTTGATAATTTAGGAAATAAAGTTTTTATTTGGGCTCTCATTGAGACTAAGAATTTACAATCATACGGTTTATTATAATATTTTAAGCTTAATTAATCAACAATTTATTAATTCTTTAATCGGATGATACCCTCGCCTCGCACCGCATGTCCACGCGTATTCATTGAAATCTTAAATATATTACTTTTCTGATTGCTGTTTAGGAAATGTAGGTAGGTACTATGTAACATAATTACATCACACATTTCCGGATGATTTTAAATGAGATTAGCTAAATTAGGAATAGCCGTTAGAATAATAGTATTACCGTGCCGATATTGTAGTATTTTCTGACTTGGTATTTATTGATTTTTAAATCAAATCTAATAGAGTAAGATCCCAGAGCGATAAAACACAACTTATTTTCAAATAGAGTAGTAACCGTGTGCTTTGAATACCTGTATGTTTGTGGAGCTAGCCTAAGGGCACCTGGGCAGGTATCAGGTGAGAAAGGTAGCTAAAAATAAGAGTTACTTAACTTTTTATATGTCTGATTTTTATATACAGGGTGTTGATTTCAATCCTCGCCATATTTAGGTAGTTGATTAAGTAGCTTATTTTGATCACAAATCAGTAAAAAAAATTAAACGAACTTTAACTTTAGTTAGTCGAAGAAAAATAATTACTATTCACACTACCTTCTTTCGTGGCTTCCTTCAGTAAGCTATCCGAAATGATAAGCGAGCGATCCGCGTAGCTCGATGGTGCCGCAGTGTAAACGTATTGCAGTATTGCGAGCCACAGTACAGTGATGTCGCACGGAAAATATTCGTTAAAAATTCCCACTTTGGGATAGGGCTAGCGATAATTTAAAGCGATATTGTTATGTCAATTTTATCGACAAAAATGCCCCCATATGTGGGCCCACCCTCCCCCTCTTGGAATGGGGAGGGCTTAATTTTTTAATGTCATAATGGATTGTTTTGTTCATTTCCATAAATCAGCTAGTAGTGCAAAGAGGCAAAGCATGTTTGTAAGATGGGGATAGCGGTGCGGGTTGTACAATAACTAAATGTCTATGTATAACTTTACTGCATATCTGAATTGCACAATTGTTTGTTATCCTAAATAAAATAAAATAATAGATCACCTAAATAAATATAGAGTTCAAATCAACATCCTGTATATGTTGCTAGAATAAAAAGTAGTATCATAAGTGTCAGACACGTCTTTCCATGGACTAAAACTTTTGTCAGACGCTTTAAAGCTCCACAGAAACTGTAGAATTGTATCCGTAGAATTATTTTCAAGAACTGTGGTAGATGGTATGCAAGAATCAGTATCAGTAATGGGATTACTACCAAGTAAGCCTACCAAGGCTTGATGTCGATGTATCAAAATCATCATCATCATTAATTTTAGGACTTCCACTGCTGAGAATAGACGTATAGTGTAGATCAGTCGCAAGTAGGGTTGCCAACTTATTTCCAAATATAAAGTTTACCAAAAGAAGGAAAACAGACAGTATTAAAAAATAAATAAACAGTTTAGCTCTAAATGTAGTGTAGGGCATAATGGGCATTTATTTTTAATAACCATTTAGATAACCACGATATCTTTTAGTTTCGGGTCAACAGGACACTTATATGGGCATTTTTCAATTCATATTCATTCATAATTAATTTCATTGTTCAATGTTACAATATGAGTGGAGGAACCATCAAGCGAAGTTCATTTTAATTACTTAAAAAAAATAGGTTTCATATTATTTAGATAGCTCTTATTCATTAAAGACAATTTTAAGTTGTTTAGTCCTAACCTAATGTTTTTTGTTACAGATTGTTAAGTAAATTCGAGTACCAACTTATTGATATCGAAGCGTTACGAGGATAAGCCAAAGTACAGACAGTTCTGCTACCTATTTGCGTCAAAGATGTATAATAATAATAATAATAATTATGAGTTACCCGAGGGCATCCCGCCACCCCCGCCCCCGCCTCGCCCCCGGGTGCTGCCGCCGCTCACCAATTACGGTAAGTACCATTTGCAGTATGACGTATGCCTTTGCCTCTTTCTTCAAAAGGAAAGAACCCAAAAAAATATCGAAAAACAGAATTCTAAAATCCAGTCAGGTATAGGTCGCTCAATGAGAGTTGAGACCATCAACACAAGTAAAGAATTGTATTGCTGTCTGCACTGATGAACATGTGTTTTCTGTTTCGCTTGCAGACATTAAATGCTTTGACAAGGCGAGGTAGCTAGTGTTAATTGTGTATCGTTATAGCCAATGAGCTGCTATCGTAGTGATATTGACGTAGTAATGTCAATGTCACACAATAAACTTCAGAATGGAGCGATGCGCGCTTTTGTGCTAAGTGATGAATTGTATTCAATTTAAAATCATTAAAAATGAGGCAATATTAATATGTAATGTAAACTCATGGTAAGCACACAGCAATTAATAATCTACTTGACTTTTACCTGACGAATAGCAACAATACTAACAGTAGGTAGATACCTATGGTAGGTGTGATCATTTGTATCACAAAAATGTTATACTTAACACATTTTTGATGATTTTCAAATAATTTTCACTAGTCATAAATGTAAATCAGGCGAAACCACTTTTGACAGATTTTTTCACTCAAAAGTGATTTTGACCGATTATGAGTTTTGACTGTAACATATTATACAAACGCGAAATATCACTTAGTGAGTAATCACGAAATCTCAAAAGCTATAGCACCTGCAAACTTAAGCAAGCAGGTTCCTTATAGGGTGTAGACATCCGCCAAGAACGGATTTTACGAACCTCCACCCCTAAGCGAGTAATGTTGTTCTGCATTTAAGTTCTATCGAGTCACAAAATGCACAATATTCTATTCTTCTAAGGATTTTACAAACTGTTTTCATGTTATTAGTCAGCGACTCAGCTCAGTTACTAACCGCCAACATTTCTTTCATACCAGGGCCCGATGAATATTTCATCCCCAATCAGTGTTTCTGCCAACGACCATTGATTGCACGCCCTGCTATTGAACGGCCAGTGCGAGAGAACAAGCGACGTCAACAGCCAGAGGCAGAACAAGAACGTCAAGAGCAACAAGACCAAAGCCACAGCCAACAGGGGCATCAAGGATCCCAATATGGATTTACACAAGGTAAATCAACTGAAGGTGCTTTTTAAGTTTAACTTTCCACATTACTAAACATCTAGACAGTGGCAAAAATGTTTGAGTCTTTCTAGATTTAAAAGAAAAGCTTTGAAACGGTTTCTGCTTCCATTCTTGCGCACAAACTTGATCTTAAGGAATTAGAGATACCCCGCTAAGTCTGTTTAAGAGGTCCTACAAGGTTAAAATAGGCCCATTTATCAGCAGTGACACTAACATAACTTTTGGCGTACCCCAAGGGAGTGTGCTTGGACCTATTTCCTGATTTATATTAATGATCTGTATGGAACGGAGCTGGGTGGAGTGGGTGGGGTCAGGTTTTTCTCTTATGTAGATGATTATGATGATGATGATGACACTGCAGTGGTGTTTGTGAACGACAGTTGTAAAGCTCTACGTAGAAGAACTGAAGTGGGACTTACCAAAGTTGCAAGTTTGCGAGCCAATCTGCTTAAACTGAATACACAAAAAACTAATTATATCCCATTTTCGATAAGTTGCAATAGTCAACCAGATTTTAATTAGTTAATTCTAAGTAATGGTAAATTCTATCTCCTAAGGTTTTTACAAACTTTTTTCATGTAGGTAGGCAGTGACTCAGCTCAGTTATTAACCACGACATTTCTTTCATACCAGGTGCCCAAACATCACCCACGTCTAACGCGCAGGCTGAGAAACAGCCTCAAGCTCCAGGGCAACAAGGGGGCGAGTAAGTAAAATTTTCGCAAAAACCAATCGTAGATAGAAAATAAATATATGTATAAATCAGACAGTCCAGGTCCAGTTAGGTAGATCCAACTTCGAGAAAGAGGTCATTCGTCGAATCCAACTCGGCTGGGTAGCGTTCGGGAAGCTTCGTGATATTCTCACGTCCGAAATACCGCATTGTCTCAAGACAAAAGTCTTTGACCAGTGTATGTTGGCTTATATGGATCTGAGACGTGGTCGCTTGATGGGCGTGATAACGTCGCTTGCCTCTCTAACCGACGTAACTGACATTTAGCAAAATTTTCAGGCGATTAGACAGATCGATTCGTCTTGCGAAATTGATTAAGATGGTGTAGATAACTCAGTTTCGAAAAAAATGACAGATACGTCAGTTAGAGAGGCAAGCGACGATAAGACGTCTCAAGGTCACCCAAAGGGCGATCAGGCGCGCTATGCTATACTCGCAGTTTCCCTGCGTGATCGAAACAGAATGAGGAGATCTGCAGGAGAACCAAAGTGACTGACATAGCCCGCAGAATCGTTGAAATCAAGTGGTAGTGAGCGGTGCACCACATAGCTCGCAGAGCTGATGGCTGCTGGGGCGAAAAAAAATCTCGAGTGGCGACCACGAGTCGGAAGACATAGTGTGGGCAGGCCTCCCACTAGGTGGACCGACGATTTGGTGTAGGTTGCGGGAGGTACCTGACTGATCTTTGTGGACGTCATTCGGCTGAAACGAACGAATAGATCAGACCTACCATAGAGAACAAACTCTAAAAACCACGCTCCTTACGTGCATGACCCATTTACACTCATCTTTTTACATACATACATACCTTAGATTAAAACAAAAAAGAAGATAATAATAATTATAATGATGATAGCATAAAATTAGTCACAATTAGAGCACAGTAATATTGATTGTAAGTTCTGTGATGGACAAGGTATAAATATGCTTTCTTGTGCTTTTAAAAAGTGTACGAACGGGTCAGGCCTGATACATCCGTTTTCCTAATTATACTTATAGGTATTTTTCGCAAAATGTCTGTTCATGTCTGTTATTCACAATTCAGAATGAGAGCACGTCTTTAATTTGCTTGTCAGCTTCTCAAAATTGTCTGTTTCCAACAATGATAGTTTTTGTACAATGTTCGCCTTTTAGATCATAGAAATTATAGAAATGTATTATGAATAGAATGCCTGCTAAGACTGCACACATTTTAAATTGAAGACATTTCGATAAAGCTGACAAAATAGGAATGCAAACATGATGAGTAGGTACGTAGACTTTTTGAGAATTGTACATTTTAGAAAAACAGAATTTTAGGCCTGAGCCGTACGAGCTGTAATAAACTAAAAACAAAGTCCACGGCATAGCCTTGCGATATTCGCCATGATATTGTTATCATTTCCATTATCATTGGCTATAGCAATGTAAGCGCGTAGCGAATCATCCCTTTTTGTCTTAATCTAAGATACACACACATTATTTGCACATACACAGGTACAAACATATTGTTGTATGTTCTTGCCAAATCCAAACATACCTCATTAGTGTTTATTCTATTCTATTTAACTAGCGGCCCGCCCCGGCTTCGCACGATGCAATGAAATTTCTCGATTTTTCTCTCCTTTAATATGCATGTTTTATTCTTATAAACTTATTTATCCTTCTTCTTGAGTCACTCTATCTATTAAATAACAAAAATTGGCCAAGTGCGTGTCGTGCCACGCGCAGTGTAGGGTGCCGACGCCGTAGTTGTCCGTCGTTACAACAATACATATTAGGTACCTATTATTATAATTCAGAAGCAAGCAATTACTTCATCTAAAGTTACTTGTAATAATTATTTTCTTCTAAGGATTTTTTATAGCTAAACGAGTTAAACGACTATTACCTACTCTTAACTATCTTAACTGTTAATTTTCCTGGAAGTCATAAAAATTACTATTAGCATAATTTTTTCCAGATTTTTCAAGCCAACAGTTTAGTTTTTAGAGGGGGGGGGGGGTGAAGAATCAGCCAATTGAGGGTAGTATAGCCTGACCAGGAACATAAAAACCCTCGCCATGTTGCGGAAAACTAATGGTACTAATTTCTTTTAATGGCAACAGTAACTGAAAACTTCATTCACATGTCACCATGCATGTCAGTCTATTGTTGTCAAAGTGTAAACAAACTTTATTTTAAATGTGTGCAATTGATTTCGTGTATTAAATTGCTAAAATATTTTTATAGTCGTGAAAGAAAAGTGGTTCACGATGTGTTAATGTATTTGTCGAAGAGAAATACTAAGGGTTCGGACAATATTTTCATTGAATAATGTTTCCGACAAAGGTTGTCAAATTGACTGACATGTTTATCGTATGGTACAGTCCACTATGAAAATTAGCTGTAGTCTGTTTCAACTACCTATTTTAAAGTTTTTTGTCACTTTCTAAGTTTTGAATTTTATGGAATTGGGAAAGAAGTACCGAGTTTGAAGCGTTCATGAGCAGACATTGCAGTTGAATATTCATGTTCTGAATTTGATTATTGATGAATAATAAAATAAATCCTACTAGCTCGATTGATGGTTTCATTTAATTTATTTAAACCAGGTTATCTTTAATAATATTTTTCGTTAATTTATGAAAATATCAAATTAGCCCGTAATCCTGAATCCTGATACATAAATTTAGCCTATTAATTTAACACATGTACGACTGTACTCAGTGTTGCACTATCAAATGCAATTGAAGCGCCTCTGTGCCAGGGTTTTTATGTTCCTGGTCAGGCTATACATGTAAAGTGGGGTTGAATTTTTTTTTCATCTACCCCATCGTGTGTAATATCGTTGGATAGGTCTTTTAAAATGACTTAGGGGTTTCTAAGATTATTTTTCGATTTAAGGATCCGTTTGCAAAATATGAAAGAGTAAAGTGCCAATTTTTGTTCGAGTAGGGCGTCCCCCCTCCTCTAAAAACTAAACTGTTGGCTTGAAATATCTGGAAAAAATCGCAATAATACTGCTTTTCATGAACTCATTTTCAGATAAATCAGTTAGTCTAAGAGTAATAGTCATTTAACTTACCTATGTATTATAAAATTTCTTAACTAGTAAAAATTCCTTAGTAGAAAATATTTAAAGTGACTTTAGATGAAGTAGTTGCTTGCTTCTGAAATATATTGTGTTAATGACGAACAACTACGGAACCCTACACTGCGCGTAGCACGACACGCACTTGGCTATTTTTTTATTATTTAATTTTATTTTTGTTTCCGCAGCCAGCTAAAATATTTGGAATGTTGGTGTTTTTTAGTTATAACAAATCCTAGGTAGGTATGTGTATTGTATAAATTCAATGTTTTCGGTGTATTCTTTACAAAATGATATAAATGTTAAGTAGATTTGTTATGTCTTGATGTTATTAAATATTGTTGAAAAAATAAATGTTTAATTAATAAATATTCGTACATTCATTTATAAAAAGTTACACAATTTTGTACACTTTCCTGCCACTAGCTACCGGTTTTCTTTAATCAATCTTTCGTCAAATCCATCCGTCAACTGTCAAAAGAGAAAAACCATTAATGGTATAGATGACCCAAGCTGAACTGTCCCACCAAACTCAATGACAGGGGGGCGCTACCATCGTTCAACTATATGGTTTCCAACATGGCAAAAATCTGAACCAGCGATCCGGTATTGACGGTGGCGCCCCACTGTCAATGTCATCGATAGGACAGTTCACTATTTTGGAACTATACCGAGTTGTACAGAGTTGTACAAATGTACAGTCACAGAATGAAAAGGTTCGTCAGTTTTCAAATTGATTCCTTCAACGAATCGCGAGCACATATTACCTTTTGAAACTATGTTACAGAATAATCTCGAGTTAGAGTAAAATAATCTTTAACTGTTCGTCAGTAAAGTTCAAAATTATTCAGATCAAAGTTGTTTGATGATTTATCTTGTCAAGAAGATTATTATGATTGATAAACTAAAACCTTCTTGTTGGTTCAACCTGCCATTATTAATTCTATTAAATAAAAAAAAAAAACTATTGTCAATTGGTCAATGTCATCATTGCATTGCACTGATGGGATAGAAAAACAAGCAAAATTTTATTCGTTAGCAAGCGTCATATTTATTTAAATGTTAGCAGCACTGTTTCTTGCCCTGTTATGTTGGCAGGTTTGACTCTTACAGTGCCTAGTGCATGCGAAAACCGACACTAAGGTGACAAACCTTTTCATTCCGCGACTGTACATTGGTGGGATTGTAAAAATGATAATTACCTACAACTGATGTAGTAATGAGAATTTTAACTAACCCTGAACTACGTCAGTTAGCAACCTCAAATAATCACAATAATAAACTACTGTTAAGAAGGCATAAAAACGACATGAGTAGATGTACAGTCGCGGAATGAAAAGGTTCGTCACCTTAGTGTCGGTTTTCGCTTGCACTAGGTAGGTACTGTAAGAGTCAAACCTGCCAACATAACCGTGCAAGAAACATTGCTGCTAACATTTAAATAAATATGACGTTTGCTAACGAATAAGGTTTTGCTTGTTTATTTTTCTATCCCATCAGTGCAATGTTACAAAATATAGTTTTTATTATTTAATAGATAATGGCAGGTTGCACCAACAAGAAGGTTTTAGTTTATCAATCATAATAATCTTCTTGACGAATTAAATCGTCAAACAACTTTGATCTGAATAATTTTGAACTTTACTGACGAACAGTTAAAGATTAATTTCACTAACTCGAGATTATTCTGTAACATAGTTTCAAAAGGAAATATGTGCTCGCGATTCGTTGAAGGAATCAATTTGAAAACTGACGAACCTTTTCATTCCGTGACTGTACAAAGAATTTAGTACCGGTACCAACGCTTCATAGAAAGTGGTGGTTCTCCTTTCAATATATTTTTGGTTGAAATATCTACAGTTTTTTACCAGTGTTTTTCAACCTGTGGGTCGTGACATGAAAAAGGTTGAAAAACACTGTATAAGACTATTGTCATTATATAGATGACCCACGCTGAACTGTCCCGCCAAACTCAATGACAGGGGGGCGCTACCATCGTCAACTATATGGTTTCCAACATGGCAAAAATCGGAACTAGCGATCCGGTATTGACGGTGGCGCCCCACTCTGTCAATGTCATGCATAGGACAGTTCAGTATTTTGGAAAAATAACAGGTGGTTTTTATTACTTTGTGGTTTTTATTACTTTCTATGTAATGTAACGTTCTTACGAATGGTACAAGTAAAATGTATGACATTTGGTTCGTGACAGATGATACACTGTAACATTTCATAGAGCGGCTCGTTGATCTGTTACAAGTAAATGCTCTAGCTAGTCTATACTCACCTTAAGGTCGCAAGTCTAACCTAACCTAACCGAGACTTTGTTATCCAACTACAGTACTAAAACCATTATGCCAATAACTTTTCATTATTAGAGATCCTAAAATTAGGGATTTCAATAAAGCGTAATTTGCTTACTGCCAAAAGAAAGTAGGCACATATTTGTTTCAGCGAAAGTAGGTATATTATTATATTAGTGCGAAAACAACTGTTAAGCCAAACAATAATAATTGTGCGTTAAAAGTTTCAGCCAGTGCGGTTCGGCCAAATGAAATTAGGACTAACAATTTTAGGCTTACCGAAGGACACCCGTACCTCTAGTAGGAAAACCTTTCGAGTTCGTTTCGTTTCGTATTCAAAGTGTCATCGAAAAATTTTGTATGAAAAATTAAACAGTGCCCCCTATATTACGAGGGCGGCACTGAAAATTTCGGGAATTAAGGAAGTGAAACAACATTACTATTTAAAAATGTATTTATTGCTTTTTAAAGTATTCTCCGCGAACTTTGACACATTTTTCCATACACGAAACCAATCATTGAAGCAACCATTGCATTCGGAAGTTTGGATCTCCAAAATGGCCGTTTTGTAGGCTTCCACAGCTTCTTCAGGTGATGAAAATCTCTGACCACGCAATTTATTCTTAATTTTAGGGAAAGTATAGAAATCATTAGGGCTTAGGTCGGGGCTGTACGGCGGATGGACTAATAATTCTATGTTTTCTTGCTCTAAAAACTCTTTTGTTCAGTGCGCGGTGTGAGAACTCGCATTGTCGTGATGGAGGATGATGCGGCGGTTGCAGTTCTCTTTACGGAGTTCAGAAACGACCTGTGGCAAACAAATGCTAGCATACTAATCTGCATTAACCGTTCTTTGTCCCCCAAGAGGAATAGTCGCAACATGGCCGGTTTTGGAGACAAACGTGGCCACCATTTTTTTTGCAACACTCCGTGAACGAACAATTTTTGTTGGCTTTAATTCATTTTCGAACACCCAAACTCGTGACTGGTTTTTTGTTTCGGGTTCGTACGCGTATATCCATGATTCGTCACCTGATACGATGTTGTATACAGCATTTGAGGATCCTGCATGTAATCTCCCGAGAGTTCTGACGCACCAAGTAACGCGAGCCGCTTTTTGCTCTTCACAGAGCGAATGCGGTATCCATCGGGAAAACAACTTTTTTACACCTAATTGTTCATGCAAGATTATTTGTATTTGACTCATGCCAATGTCTAAAGTTGCCTGAATTTCGCGGTATATCACATGTCGATCTTCTTCAATCAGCTTACGCACAGCATCAACGTTTTCTTAGGTGACTGCAGTTTTTGGACGACCTTGACGGGGATCATCACTGAGCTTGACACGTCCACGTTGAAATTCAGGAAACCAGCGATAAATTGTGGTTTTGGATGGGGCTTCATTACCAAATGCAGAAATCATCCGGTCAACACACTGTTTTTGTGTTAAACCACTTCAAAAGTCATAATAAATCATCGCTCTTGAATTTTCTCGAGTTAATTCCATTTTCTCAACGACTAAACAAGTTTGACAAGACCTTGTGATACGACCGAGAATCTTTTTTTAAATAAATAAATGGTATACGATTTTTAAAACCCTGGAGTTTGCAATTAAATAGATTTTAATATGACTGGAACAGTGGAAATATTCCATTCCCGATACTTTTAGTGCAGCCCTCGTATAGCCGCCCTAGGGGGCGCTGTTTAATTTTTCATACAAAATTTTTCGATGACATTTTGAATACGCAACGAAACGAACTCGAAAGTTTTTCCCACTAGAGGTACCGATTATAACACTTTCGTCTTGAGGCATTGAGGAAAGAACGCTGCCCAGCCGAGTTGGATTCGACGATTGACCTCTTTCTCGAAATTGGACCTACCTAGTTGAATCGTGGGGCTATTTTCACCGGGACACCATGGCGGCGCAACCAGTCGCCCGCTACCAACAAAACGTATACCTATAGCTCTATTAGAGAGTTACTCACCTGGTGTCCGTTTGGTTGCGCAAAGCTGTATACATTTTGTTGGTAGCGGCGACTGGTTGCGCCGCCATGGTGTACCGGTGAAATATAGCCCGTAGTCGTAGACATACTTGTCAACAGTTCGAGAATCGAGCTCTCAACCGAAACCGGGTAGGGTGCAACATGGACGCTCGATATAAGCTTCGCTTTGCCTATATTCATCCGAAGGCCTACCTGTTGGGGGAAGAGATCCGTCAACGAACTAACGTCATACTGTCAAACTGACAATATCCTCTAAACTCTAGGGTATTATTAACATGACCATTATTCTATCTATATTAATATTATAAAGAGGAAATAAGCGCGGGCGCTCAGCTTCAGTTTTAGCAATTTTAGTTGAATTGAGGGATAGCTGTATCTCCCCAGCAGTTGTATGTGGCATATTCCAGAGCACAGAGAAGCCTGGTAATTCTAGCACCCGTAGAAAAACAAAAAATATTTTAATGAGCAGTTTTCGATTTCCTTGTAAAAAGATAATAACGTAAAAATATTAAGGCCGAGTTGCACCACCTAACTTTGACCGTAACTTTAACGATAACCAGTATGTTTGTATGGAGTTTGACAGATTTTTAATCGAATTCAAAAAAGGAGGATTCACATTATACATAGAAAACACCCAGTCCAATATAAACAAATAGGTATGTTCATGCACACAAAATGTTTGTACTGTGCGGGGATCGAATAGTAGTCCGTTTCGAACCACTACACCAAACGGCCGAGAAGTAGGTAATTATTTTTCTACTTTTTAGTGCATTTTTTTTGGAGTCGGGTTGTTTTTTTAAATTATTGACTTTTGTTAAAGTTAAAATAAGATGGTGCAACCCAGCCTAAGTTTCAACAGACCAAAGGCCGAGCTAACTAAGATAATTTTAATCCCTACACTTTTCAGCAAAAAGTCAAGGAAGTCAAAAGGAAGAAAGAAGGGGCTTTTGAAGGGGCAAAGAAAATTAGCTAAATACTTTATTTTGTAAGTATGCAAACATATTTTAAACATAAAATATTATAATCATTAAAAATCCTCTCAGAACCTTTTCGACTTTTACACGGATGAAGTCGCGGGCACAGCATAATTATTATATAGAGGGAAAAACCGGCCAAGTGCGAGTCAAACTCAAGCATCGAGGGTTCCGTACAAACTTGTAGGTACCTATATAACTTTGATTGTACATGATTTTTTTTTAGTTTTATCATTCTCTTATTTCAGAAGTTAGAGGGATGGGCACATTTTATTTTATTTTTCTTTTTATTTTTAGGACTTTGGAAGTGTCTCTCGCGCAAACTATTCAGTAAGACTTGATCATACTTGAGTATTATGGGCCGACTGAACTGGAGTAAGTAATTAAGTGTGCCACTTTAATGTTACACTAGCGGCTGCCCGCGACTTCGTACGCTTGGTCGTTTTACGCTCATAGAGGTTGAATTTTGCAAAATCCTGTCTAAGTGAGCACTTTCTAAAAGTTTCTGAGATTTCAAGATGTGTGAATCAGTTAGAGACCTTTCGCTTTTAAATATAGATAGTTATATGCAGTGTATTATGATTGCAGGTTTGCGGCAATCGTCATATTAATAATCCTGCTAGATGTATACGTTGTTCCCTTCTACTCAAGCAAGGATGACTCCAATCCGGAGTCAAAAAAGGATGAAGAAGTGCTAATAATAGCAGGAGTGTGCCCTTGTAACATCACTTTAAATGAAGAATACGTTGACGGGCCTTATTCCTTCTACTACGACGCACTTGCCTACATTCGTAACCCTACCTATCAGATAGACCCATCGGAGTCATCCGTGAGTACCTCGATATACAGGGTGGAAACGATAAGTGATCTCACTCGATTATTTATAAACTATACACGATATCAATAAACTAGTTTTTGATCCTGAAAGTGCTTTATGAGCTCTATCAAACGGTATTAATAATAGGTTACAGAATAAACTGGGTCTATCCGAAAATTCAATGATTCCAGCTTCCATACATTTGGTAAAGTCACATTATTTTAAAAACTACACATGATATCGTAAAACTGATTGCTGATTCTAATAGTGCTTCACAAGCTCTATCCAATGGTATCAATAATAAGTTACAGAATAAACTGGATCTATTAAAAAATTCAATGTTTCTTTCTTCCATACATTTAGTACTACCACAGTCATGACACTCATCTCTTGACAATATTATAGCAAGTAAAGCCTAAAATCAATGTTTTCCATGAATAATTTTAAATAAGAATACAATTTACGACTTCATTTTAAGAGTTTATTATTAAATAAAAAAAATCACACTTCTAACATTGTGTGGCTGGCATACATTTAGTATGGAAGCTGGAAACATTGAATTTTCAGATAGATCCAGTATATTCTGTACCCTATTATTGGTACCGTTTGAAAGAGATCCTGAAGCACTTTCAGGATCAGTTACCAGTTTTTCAATATCTTGTATAGTTTAGAAATAATCGATTGAGATCACTTAACGTTTCCACCCTGTAGATTGAATACAGTTAATTCATTATCACCCAGTCATTTAGCCTCCACTGAATGCGCACAGCCCTCTCTATAAGATATGTTAAATTCAAGCAGTGACTTCTACCACAGCTTCTACTCTAACACTTGTGTTACTTTGCATACTTGCCATTTTTACAGATAGAACACAAAATCAATAAAAAATTGCACTAAAATTTGGTTTTTAATCTGAAGTAGGTATTTTATTTTATTATTAACACACCACTTTATCACACACAATGACATGCACATGACTTGTTGGCGATGGCGACGGGGACCCATTTTACTTTTTATTCTATTTTTATTTACCTATTATTGGAATTTGTTGATGCGGGCTCTTGCATTATGCAATCCCGCAAAATTGCCGTGACAACGAGCCGAACGTAAATGTTTTGTTGCAGGATGGATTTTCTTACGGGAACTATACCCTACTATGTGATTGTTCGCACATACCTAAAAAAGTCACGACTACCGCTCTCCCAACACCGCCACCAGTACAATTCGGCCCTCGTCACCCCATGGCGAAATTCTGCGGCAAAAAAGACTGCAGTCAAAAGCCGTGAGTATCTTAAAGATAAATAAAGATAAAAGTACATTAATTTATTCGTTCAAAACATTTGTACATTGTTAAGTATATGTCAAGTTTATAATTGCTCTAACATGTGGTACCTTTGCGGTGTACAAATATAAAAAAAATATCAATAAAGCTAATAATAATGATATGCGACCAATATTTTCATTTTTATATATTTCATATTTTAAATGGTGTCTTAAATCCTCTTGAGGTTTGTCCATTTCTAGAATGTAAGGACGGAAATATTAAAATTTTTATGTTATTTGAAAATGGTTCCGCATTTTATTTATTTGTCAGTTGAATTTCCCCAGAAAGTAAAGTAATTTTTTTATTTGGTTTACCAGAAGTTATTACATTGATGCTTACACAGTATAGGTACTCGTACATATACAGCCTTAACATAATAAATAAATGCACAATTAATTTTAGGTAAACGCCGCATGGTAGGACGAGCAATTTCGACGACACTAAGCATTTGGTAAGTACGCCAAGAGCAGAGAACCAACATTCAATAGTGTAACTTGTATGCGTATGCTGAGCTGCAAAATTTTTTACGTGTGTCCCCAGGAATTTTGCACAAATTAATAATATCATTAATTTTTGAGATAAGATAATTACAAAAATGCAGACTAACAATGATCGGTATAGAATTAGTATAGACGCGGGTAAAAGGTGGTAGAGTTTAAATCCGCTGTGTAGTTTTTATCCTGCCCATCTATAGTATACATTATACAACAAGAAAAATTAGACCCGGATTCCATCAAAGGAGAGGAGTGGAGATGACATTAATATGTTTTGTATAACCAAATTAACCAATCAGTTTTCCAAACCGGCTCTCTTTCGCGGTGATGTGGAAATAGCATGTGGTAGAAAACGGGCCTAAACACATTTCTATATATATTTTTATTAATCACTTTCCTTATTTTCAGAATGGATTTGGAGGATGTGGAATCAGGATATTATATTTTTTTATTATGGGTGAGGTGCTTATGAAGTGCTATGATCTGTACACAGATAATTGATAGACTGAAAAGAATGCTAGGGTATGGTGTTTCTTAAAAAGGTGGTGGTGGTAAATTGGATAGTGAACAGGGAAAATAATTTAAGCAGGGAATTATTATCATTGTGATAATACTTGCATACAATGTAAATATATTTTATTATTGATGTTTAATATACAAGTATACGGGGTGTCCGCGATTTTTTTATTATTATTAGATGAATACTAGGCATAGCTGATTCAGAAGTGAATGAAAGAACACAAATATAAACTAAACACTTTAATGTTGATTCGGGTAGCCCTTGTGATGCTCTACCTCTGGGCTTCGGCTTGACACTACTTTTTGGGACACCCTGTATAATTATGGGGATTCACAAAACATTGTGAATAATTGATGTTATTCTTGTTATAATAATAATATAATGATGTTATGTTATTAATTAATGTGTGTGTTGAGAATATTGTTCTAAATTGTATCTGATCTGGTAGTGCTCTTGTATATAAACTGTCTATATTATTATGTAAGTAAGACGAATTTTTATTAGTGTATAAGTTCAAGGAATGATATTTTCATAAAGTAATTTAATCAATATAATTGATGTATTGTTATCTCCATTTCAAATGTTTAAAATTTAAATATCACAACAGTTATTTCTTATATCAGACTCAAAGTAATAAATAAATGTTTGGCTGAAGGTGCTGCGTTTCTTCCACCACCACTTCTTCTCAGCATCAGCCTAGCCACGGTAATACTATCATACAGTATTGTAACTTCATATAAACGGACGAAACGCGAGCTTTTCTTCGAAATTCAAATCTCGGTATGCGCTCGACATGCAAAAGTCGGGGGTGTCGCGAATTTGCCACAGTAATAAATGAACGATGTGTTGTTTTTTAAACAGTAAGTGCTTTTTTTTATAATAATAATTACAACTACCTATTTATACAGGGTGTTAGGTAAATGGGTTTATAAGCCGACACTAGCCTATGTTAACATGTGCATGTAAATGGTATGGTGAAGTCAGTGATATCATCATATTATTTTTTAAATTTTCATTCAAAATAAAATTTATAAAATCAGATTTGTATGAAAATTAAAATTATTAAAATGATGATATCAATTTTCTGACTTCACCATACCGTTTATATGCACATGTTAACATGGGCTAGTGTCCGCTTATAAACCCATTTTACCTAACACCCTGTATAATAATCAAGCATTTTGTAAGCCTCAGTCGAGGCGCATACATTTTACGGTCGCAAATGTATAAGATTTATTACTAAATCTTAACACAAATATATTTCTTAAATTAAATCTACTAATCATAAAACAATATGCATTTTTATCCTATTTCATTCACAAAGTATTTTGTTTGTCAAAATAAAATAAAAAATTACAATCACAAAATACATTCACAAAACTAGATAGAAATTCTAGTAGGCAGATGTAATGAAAATAGGGTCTGCAGGAGGGCAGCCCTATCGCATGTTGTCATACGGTGACGTAGCGCGCGGTTGTTGACATTTATTTCAGAAATAAGGCTGAGTTGGAATACTGTATAGATAGTATTACCGTGGCCTAGCTATGTCCGAAGTGGTGGTGGTAGAATCACCTTCTAGTCGTTTCTTTCATAGACACTTCTCAATAAAAATGATTGTTGTTGTAAATATATTCTGGTTTTATTTACGAATCCTCTTAGATTCAAACAAAAAGGTATACATTGTTTAAGTTCTTACTCGTACATTGTAATCAACCAAACTAGGCCCTGAGTGAGAGAGAGCAAAGAGCTCCAGTTTAGTGCAAGTGATATACTAATGATAATTGCCACGCTAAAGCGAAATAATTGTGTGCATGTTCCTTAATTTAGGCAGTCCACTTGCGAAAAGCTAAATGCACTATCTTCCCTTTTTGTTTTAATAGTGACTGCTGCTGCATTTTATACAGAACATTGTAGAACAGCAACGCCCGATAGTACACATGAAAGTAATTACAAGAAAAATATAAATAAATATTTAACTATTATTTTAATAGTAAAAACCGTATTCAAACGTATCCTAAAACTTTCGAGACGGCGCTTGTTACCGCCCGCACCACCCCCGCATACCCCGCTATACCAGTGGGTTACACAGTAGGTACATGACGGCGACGGCCACACGACTTATTTATACTATACCATAATTTCCTGATTTCATGGTTTTTCAATGATAAGGTATTTTTGTATTTTTTTTTAATCAGTGTCGTTGAGATAACCACAACCTGTATAATATTTCCCACCACTCGTATATTCACACCTTTAAAGCTATCCAATTCAGGTAGTAGGACACTTGGGATTGAATACTTAGTGGGGGGTCAACTACCTAGTAATATGATATTATCTTTATCATATAAAAAATACACAATACTAGCTTTTGCCCGCGGCTTCACCCGCGTGAAATTTAGTTTGTCACAGGTCGTCATAAATTATAGCCTAAAAGTTAATCTGGGTTATAAACAATAATACTGTAAAGTTTCATCAAAATCTGTTCAGTAGTGTTTTCGTGAAAGAGTAACAAACATCCAGACATCCAAACTTTCGCATTTATAATATGAGTAGGAAAATGGACAGTAAAAAAAAATAACTGTTACTTATAATAGTTTGTTGGTGATATTTTTGCGAAAAGATAGTCTGATGTGCAGCTATCGATCGTCAAATTAATATAGTGCGGTGGCATTATAATAGTCGGTGATTTTTGAATTGAAAATCCTGAAAAACATGCATACTTTTAGATCTGTTTCACGACTTGGTGATAACCCTTTAATAACCCTAGCCCTACCTACTACTTTCTTAGAATCATACCAATGCAACTAACCCTAAATTTTGTATTATAAGTAAAACATAATTAAAGGGTTATCACCAAGTCGTGAAACAGATCTAAAAGTTTAAGCATAAGAAATTGTAAAAATAGAAATATCAAATGATAATACCTATGGTGTTAGCCACATCTTTCGAATATAAGAAATATATAATTTAGCTGTTTAAGAACTCATAAAAATACTGAGGTATGTCTCGTTTCTGTCGTGTCTGGGTGACAGATGACCGTTTTTCTTTTCGCAACGCTATCGCATCACCCATTCTCCACAAATTTAGGACAAAATTTCAAATTCTAGTGTAAGTACAGGGGAAGTATTTACCAGCAGTTCGCTATACTCCGGAGTCCGCTGCTGTTGCTGGTCAACAAGGCTGAAGGGAACCCCGGATTGGCTCCAAAGGTTAGTATTAGGAGGACCGACTGTTCCCTTTCTGCAAGGTGAAGACTACACTCGACATCAAATAAATCGCACCTCCCGCGACAAGCACTTTCAAACGTTGCATCCCCACTTCCCACCAACATTGGCACCATTTAAAAGCCTAGTTCTAAACTTTATTTCATTAAAGGAAAGGTTTTTACCCCAAGAATGTGTCTTTAGAAGGATCCAGAGCCACTTCTTCAAAAAATAGGTAGTTACGCTTGAGCCAACTTTTATGGCTATAAAACTGTTAAGTTAGGATTAATCGCTATCCATCTGTTAAAGAGGACACGTGTGATCATTATTGAAATTTGGTTTTATAACCATATAGGTCTAATTGATCCCAGAGGTGAGCCCAAAGTGAAGTCTTTTTTCAAGTCACATTTATTTATGGTATAATTATGTTAATCACTTATTAAGAAATTAAATGTGTTTTTCTTTATAGATATTTATTGGGCTTTCAAATAACACCAATATTGTTGGGGCACAATGATTGTGTCAGAAGAAAATCTTTAAAGTACGCGTCGCGGAAGGTGCGGTTTATTTGATGTTGAGTATATTTTGGAATTGCACCGATATAGGACAACCTAAGAACTGAATAAGATCTATATTTGCTGTATCTAATTAAAAAAGAGGCCCCAAAGGTGACTGAGTTTCTTCCGCTATTACTTTGTCAGCACCAGCCTATATTTTGTCCCGAAGTGGTGGTAGGGCAAGCTTTTGGGACGTCTTTAATGCCCGTTTTCACCATCAATCCCTAATTTTTAAGTGGCTCCTATGAAAATCAAAATTCCTGTTATATGTTACAATAGCGGTTACTTAAATTATAGGGATTGATGGTGAAAACGGGCATAAGCCCCCTAGAAAGGGCCTAAGTGCTGAATAAATTTTATTTGATCCCGCATGGTGTACACAAGGTGTTGATTTCAATCCTCACTATATTTATTTAGGGGCACTTCTTCGAAATTGCATTCTTCGGCTGACTCATATGGACCAAATTGAAAATCAATTTCAGGTCTGTAACATTAGACTCATAATGAAAATAGGTACACCCAATAATATATATTTGGATGAGGGACTCGTTTTTATAAAGTAGTTTTCAAGATATCGACGTTCAAATATTTTGATGAATGATGAATCAGAATTGTTTAGAGATTAATCAAAAATAGAAATATAAAATTTAAAATCTTAATGTACAATTGGCTCTATATTAAGTAAATAATCATATTATAACAAAACCAATGATCTGTTTTTATGAAAATAATTTCAGTTATCAAAATATCACGAGAAAAAAATGCAACAATATATTGCATGTCATTTTGTTAGTTGGTTACAGAACTATATTCAAAGACATCGAAATTTTGCCTCCGAAGGAATGCCCTTATTATAACTTACATAAACGCATTATCCACAAAAAAAAAAAACAAAACGAAAGTGGAATTTTAAGCGAATATTTTCCGTGCAACATTAACTGTACCATGGCACTGTAATACGTTTACACTGCGGCACCATCGAGCTACGCGGATCGCACGCTTATCATGTCGGATAGCCTACCGAAGGAAGCCACGTAAAGTAGGTAGTGTAAATAGGTATTTTTCTTTGACTAACTAAAGTTAAAGTTCGATTTAAAATTTTTTCGAAGTCAATTTTTTACTAACTAATTCGTGTTCAGAATAAGCTACTTAATCAACTCCCTAAATATGGCGAGTATTGAAATCAACATCCTGTATATTAACACGCTACACAAACCTTCGCCTAATTTAAATAAAATAAATTAAATAAATCCTGAATAAAATAAAATAAATTCTGAGGATAAATTAAAACAATACAAATACTGTGCATTAGTAGAGGAACTATAACTTTTCTGATTATCACAGAGTGAAAACCCAGTCCGTTTTGTCTGAGTCCATTTTG